CATCATGGCGTGAAGGATTATCATCTAGCAAAACCTGTCACAGCTAAAGGCTCGCAAGTTCCACAAAAAGCACAATGCTGAAAGCCAATCCAACAGCCCCAATGCGCTAAATGAACTCAAAGTGAACAGGAAAATATAAAATACAGCAAGCACACAGCAACAACAAACAGAACACGACACCAGCAACGACACGCAGCATGCAAAACGGCCAAACAAAGACACAACGAGTATCATATGCTGTGGAAAAGATCAGCTAAGCAACAGAATTAATAAATTAACAGAGGGGCTTGCAAGGGGCTAGGCGGATGAGGGAAAATTCAAGAGAGCGACCTTCAGGAGAAATATTGTGGCACACCTACCTTTGATTCTCCCTCCGGTTGCACCGTCAGCATCCTTGTTACCATGAAATCCGACGGAATCGTTTGCTGCAGGGTCACTGTGACAGTCCGTGTTAAACTCCTTTTTACCACTGGAAAGCCTTCTGCGTCAGGCCAGTACTGACCACACTTGTTGCTTCCTCCCTCGAAGGTGCTAAATTTGACCAAAAGTATGACAGTGCGAAATGAGTCACGGAAAGCAAGAGAAGCGAAAGTGTTGATTTAAGTTTTCTGATATTGATGATTAAACCGTAAAGTCGTTTTCTGGGCACCATGACTTCTCCCAGGTACCTTTGGATACGTGTTGCATCTCATAAGATGTTACTCTTGTAAACCCTTTAGACATAAATGTGTAAACTCGCATTCAGAACGTCCCCTGCGCCTAACCTTGTGCCGGCCTTAACACAAGAATTACGGACTCTATCCTGCAGTTGCTATGCAAGCGTGTATTGGAATACATCTGTTTCAGCGGAACAACGGAGAGGTATTCAATGCTGTACGTAAATTCATTACTAGCATTGGTTGAAAGGTCAAAAGTATAAATAGCGTCTGCGGCACAACATAAGTGCAACGTTGCATACTTGCGAGCTTAGCTTCTACTCTCCTATGCACGTGCAAGAACTTACCAAGAGTTAACTCTTTCTTAAATAGTCCTGCTCATGACCAAAATGGAAAACCACAGAGTTCTAAGCAACTTCTAACTGTGTTGAAAGTCAAAATGGCCTCCGTAAGCACTCCTTGAATTGTAACAAGGCTGAAAGAACCCGGCAAAACAGAAAATGCAGGTGACAAGAGACTATTTTTGGCTATCAGGCCAAAAAGGGTTGATATTCAGTAAACTGAAACCAACAGAATCTGGTAAAACAATTCTGTAATATTTACCACAGTTTGCTGCGGGTGAACGAATGCGACAATTATTTAAATGCGCAGCACAGTGTTACCAACAGTAGTGATGCCTGGGTGCCTTAATCCTTTGTAACAAAACTAATATTTTAAAAAAACTATCTTTTGGAATTAACATTTTGCTGATGGCAAACTTCCTCTCCTTTTAAAGGGGATATATCGGCGAATTCG